ACAAGCTTGAGGCCGAGAAGAAAATGGCCAAACGAGATAAGGTTGCCTTTGGCCAGGAGATGGTAATGCGTGCGGCCGCCAAAGTAAATGGTCAGTACGCCAACTTGGTCGGCAAAGTTAAAGACTCTCTGGCCCGAAAGGAGAAAGCCGAGGAGCTGATTGCGACCGTGGTGCAATGGGTTGGCGCGCAGAGGGCACTTAATATTATCCGAAAGTAAGGCTACGACTTCCCACCTCTCATTGATGAGAATATGGCAAAGAAGATCACCGAAAGTAAGGCCGAGCAAGAAGCCTTCGTGGAGGTCAGTTTCTCGGCTGAAGAGCTTGAGGCTCCTGAACTGGAGTTCTTTCTTGAAGTCGCGAGTGAGATTGGGCAAGAAGAGTCGGGAGCGGCTAAGTCCCTTGAGAGAGCCGAACAGGAGAAGGAGAGAGAGGCCGATAAGGGAGATGGTCAAGATGTCGATCAGCCTAACAGCCAAGAGGCCGAGCAGGAAGAAGGAGAGATCCAGGAAGAGGCCGAGGCTGAGGAATAAATTCCTTGTTTGTTTGCAATCAAGTATGATGTATTTGTAGACTGATGTAATTTGTCCGCCGTTTTGGCACTTTATTAATGAAACGATGTAATTTATCCAAAATCTAGAACATAAACTGCGATGCGATATCGGCTTTAAACTGTTTATGCGATTTAAATTTCTAAGCATAAGTTGAATACGCGAGTGAGGTCGGTCCGTAATTCAATACTTAGAATTTTTCTTAAGTCGAATGCAAGGTGCAACCAGGTCGTCTTAATAGTTTTGCATGACTTAAGAAATCCAGAGCGGGTTTTGGCTTTAGAGAAGTGTGAATACGAACGTGCGGGAGGCCCGACTTATGATTTTTTGTACAACTTATCTTCTAAGTGTAATACTCGATGTGCATTTCAGGTCGGCATCATTTCATCGGTACCACGTTGAAGTATCCGAGTCGAATACGGGTGCAAGACTGACTTGGCTGATAATTACGCATAACTTGGATCGATTGAAACGGGCAAACTGTATTATGCAAGATGGACTTGGCTTTAAATTTTTGAGCTAAAGTGGATTAGACTTTAGTTTTAGGCGAATTGAGCATCTGGCCAGGATGCCGATGTGAATTTAACAGTAAAATTGAGGAAAAATTATTATTTTTCATTGAATAAAGTTGAAAGTAAGGACTTACAAACCAGAAAGGCTCGAAAAGGTAAAAGTATTCGAAGTCCCTCCCCCTCCGGTTTTAGGAGGGGGAGCAGTTGCGCCATCCGAAGATAGGCTGCCTACGTACCACTTTCGGGGATCAAACCGCTTTGTAGTTCATAGGTATTATTCCCTTTTTTTTTATTTCGACCTGAGGAAGATGCCGATCTAGCTGTAGTACCATTTAAGGATTAAAGAATTCCAAGCTCGTGGAATCAATTCACCGTCCATTTATTCGAGCCGATAAACACCCGGCGTGATTATGCTCGTGATGATGTAAGGACCTTCCCAGTTAGCTCTGAGCTTTCCTGTATTGTCTTCCTTGGTGTTTTCGTAGACCTTTCGGATGAGGTCGTCTTTGTCGAAATGTCGATTCTGCACTTTTTTGTTATAGTACCGAGCTGCCTGGTTCTGGTAGTTCTGCATTCGGAGCAGGGCTTGATTGCGTGTTTTTTCGAAAGTGTCAAGGTTATCGACCAGTATCGCTGCGTTCACGGCGGGGAAGTCCGGGAGTACTCTGCGTCGTAGGCTGCCGACATTGATTTCTGTAGGAACCATGGCTTCACATCCATAGACAAGTGAGAAGAGAGTCTTTCCGGTAGCTGTTCGTGGAGTTGTGCGATGAGACCAGAGTACGCCGTCCAGCTCGTCGGCCCAGAAACCTTTCTTGGTATTGAGACGCTTCTTGATGTCGTCCAGGATAGTCTTATAGTCTTATTGGTTGTTTCGGCCTGTCTGTTACCTTGCGGATGGGGGGGGGGGGGGGGGGGGGGGGGGGGGGGGGGGGGGTAAACTTGTTGAGGCTGATTTTCCATTTGGCACAAAAATCTTTGATATGAACTGGGGACCGTTATCCGTGACGATCTCGTAAGAGAGGCCGTATCGGCATATAATGTATCTCCAGACGAAACTTTGCACTTCAGTTGCGGTGATGTCAGCAAACGCCTTGGGTTCGACCCACTTAGTAAAGTAGTCAGTTATTATGAGCACGTACTTGCGCTATTGATCCGACGATGTCCATTGCTCAGCGCATGAAGGATATGGAGGGATCGCCGAAGTCAGAAACTCGGTCGGCTGATGGAGATAACTACGCATGTCCGAAATAGGAAAACTTCTTTGCCGATAAGACTAATCTTCCGTCTTTTCTGGATTTAGTCCGATAAATGAAATATTTCTATTTATTTGGCCGGCCTGAATTTTTTTTGGATTTCCAAAATGGACCGACCAAAATTCATATCGAGCTTTTAGAGATAGTACGAATCTTATCTCTAACAAATACCATACACATTTATCTATCTTGCTACAGTGGTTATTATTGTTATAAATATATAAATGCAAACCAAACCAATAATAAAAATGGAAACGAACAATTTCTTTTATTTTCCATTCTTTTTTATAAAAATTATTCAATTGGTTGAATTCGAATTAAAAATTGCAATTTTTTGGATTTTTAATAATATTTATGGGTTATAATTGTAAAAATTCTAAGTTTTTAAAAAGAAGATTAATATATTCTCTATTGTAAATCTGTTTTAAAAAATTTGGAATATAAGCTATATATTTGCTTTTCTTAATTTTTTTTTTTTTTTTGTCGACAGCCTCTAAATCTTTATAATGGTGTTAACCATTCTGGGGGAGTTGAGTTTACATAATACAGATGGTAAAGGTGGTGACGAGCACTTCGAACTAACTTGTCCACCTTTGAACTCTGCGCGCGAGGGATTTTTGAGATTGTGAACATCTCAAACTCCTGCCTGGTTACTTCGTATTCCTCAAGGTGAAGAGCGAAAGCTGGCCATCCTTGTGGATCAGACACCATCGATAAAAGTTCTGAGCAGTATGTTAAGAACGTCACCTGCTGCCTCCCTGTATCCAACATACAGTGCATTATCCATATTAGTGCCTCAAGTTCTGAGTGAAGAGGTGTCAGACTCCTCTCTATTTTCCAGGCTCCCATTAATATACCCATAGTATCTATTTCTTCACTATACCATTCTAGTCCTGAATTCGAATCATCCTTTTTCCATAATCTATCCGTGTAGCAGATAATCCCCTTCCTGTCTTGAGTAATTTGGATATTCCGTAGATCGCTTATTTCTATATCATTTAACTCTTTCCTTAATTTATGCACCCAAATCTTCGATCACATTACCATTTAACTCTTTCCTCTCAGCAAACGGCATCGATAATGGAGAAGATAAAACGGTGGGGGAAGAAGACCAGATTGGTTTATGATTTAATATATATTTGCATCATGTTTATATATTGTTGAATTAACTAGCAAGATGGCTAAGTGCGTCTGATTGTGTTTTTGAGTTCAAGAGTTTATATTTTGGGTTGATTAAAACCTTAAAGATTGATCTATATTTTTTGATAATCAAGAATACAATTACAAAATAAAAATACTTAAAGGGTTAATTTACAAAAAAAAATCCCATATATATATGCCATTTGTTGGCGCCAAAATTAATTTGTGAAAACCAACAATAAAAATTATGAAATTCATATATTACATCAAAACAAATTGAAAGGACTTGTGCAGTTATGTAGACATTCAATTGTTTTAAAAATAACACCAGTCTAAACTATACATACATACTGTAGAAACTTAATAAATTAATAATGTTAAGATTTTAATATTTTATTAATTTATAAAGTTATTAATTTAGCAGTTTTAAATAAAGTAAATTATTTATTAATAATTATTTTAAAATAATATTTTTTAAAAAATTATAATATTGCCTAAAAATTTTTATTATAAAATTAGAGATAAATGGTAAAAATATTTTAATTTTAATATGAAAACAACAATATACTTATATTTTAATAGATTATAATAATTATTTATTTATGTAAAATTATTTTATATACTATTTATTAATTTATAATATTAATGAGACTATAATTTACATAGATTTTTTAAAATTTTTTATTAATTTATATTAAATTTTAAACCAATTCAACTCAAAACTGAATAAAATTATTAATTTATTAAATTTATTTATTTATTAAATATTAATTTATAAAATTTTTACTGTATATTTTTTTTATAAGTCATCAATGCTTGTAACATCGATTATTAAGATTGTCAAAAGTCAAAATAGAGTTGATGGTTTGATTTTGGTTTTAAAGTCATGTTCTTTGACTTAAACAATTTACAATATATGTTATAATAAAATGTATAAAAATGGCATGCCTAAAAAATATATTTCTTTTAGAAACCTTTGTATTTTACAAGTTGAGATCTTGCATAAAAATTCAAACAATTTAGAATTGAATTAAGTACATATGCATATGTGAGTTTTCTTTGGTCTTGTTTTAAATTTGTGTCAACGGAGTAAGCGAAAACATCTTTTAAAATCTCGTGAAATAAATTATAAAATAAAAAATTATGAAAAGAAGAAAAATGTTGAAAATTGAACTAAGTACATATGCATAGGTGAGTTTTCTTTGGTCTTGTTTTAAATTTGTGTCAACGGAGTAAGCGAAAACATCTTTTAAAATCTCGTGAAATAAATTATAAAATAAAAAATTATGAAAAGAAGAAAAATGTTGAAAATTGAATTAAGTACATATGCATAGGTGAGTTTTCTTTGGTCTTGTTTTAAATTTGTGAGCGGAGTAAGCGAAAACATCTTTTTAAATCTCGTGAAATAAATTATAAAATAAAAAATTATGAAAAGAAGAAAAATGTTGAAACTTGGAAATCATGCAAAGCCACACCTCTACTACTCTAACATCTCACCGTCTTAGGTGTCCTCTTCTCATCACTCCAACTCTGTATATAAAAATACCTTCTCAAAACTTTCCAATCTTATTACAAGTTCAGAACAAAAAGAAACTAGACATTCTTCTCAGTATTATCTTCTAATGGCGGATACACATCGCGTCGATCGTACTGATAGGCACTTGCAATTTCAGTCACCGTATGAAGGTGGCAAAGTTGATCTTCAGTATGAAGGTGGTGCAGGCCGCTATGGTGGCCGCGGCTACGGTGCCAGCCTTGGCGGTTATGGCAAGAGCATGATGCCTGAACGTGGCCCATCTAGCACCCAAGTAACGTTTATTTTCTTAGTCTTCCAGTATACTTAGTTAACTATGTTTCAAAAACCAAAAAACAGAAGGACTGTGTTTCAAAAGTCCTAATCTACTCTCTTTTTCAAAAACAAACTATGATAATGATTTTGGCACGGTAAAATGGTCCTTTCAATATATTACATAAGATATATGATTTTTAATTGAAAATAATTTTTGAAAGTTTTACATGCATATACCTTTTCATGATCTTATATTTATTATTGTTAACTGAACATATTTTTTGTATTATTATTATGGTTCTTAATTTAACATTGTCATTTTTGAAAGGTAATATCCCTTTTGGTGGGAGTCCCTGTCGTCGGTTCGCTTCTTGCCTTAGCTGGTTTACTTCTAGCCGGTTCAGTGATCGGTTTGCTGGTAGCTATACCGCTTTTCCTTCTCTTCAGCCCGGTTATAGTTCCAGCGGCTCTAACCATCGGTCTTGCGGCGACTGGATTCTTGGCCTCTGGAATGTTTGGTCTAACCGGGCTTAGCTCAATATCATGGGTCATGAACTATCTTCGTGGGACCAGGAGGACTGTGCCTGAGCAACTGGAGTATGCTAAGAATAAAATGGCTGATGCGGTTGGGTACGCTGGTCAGAAAGGCAAAGAAGTGGGCCAGCAAGTGAAGGATAAGGCCCATGAAGCTAAGCAATATGATACTACTAAGGCCTATGATACTACTAAGGGCCACGATACTACGAAGGCCCATGAAGCCAAGAGGGATACAGCATAATGAGGTTTTTATGTTTTCGGGCTATTTCTGTATTCCATGTCTTTTTCGCTTTTTCTGCATTTTCAGTATCTTATATCCTATGTTTTTCTTTTTCTTTTTTTTGGGTCCAAATCAAGAATCGCGAAGTGTTGCTTAGTTGTATTGTAAGCACGAAGAATCACAAAGTGTTGTAGTAATATATAAATGTCCAAGAATTCTCCATCATCCTATGGCATGATCTTTATATATAAGATGTAATCAATAAATTATGTAATACTTAAATGTACACTTTTAGTAGTATTTTTTTTTCAATCTCAACTCAACGGTTCAGAGATCCTTCCGAACCGGTTCACCGGTGGAGTTAGAATTTACATAATATAAATAATAAAATAGTCTCAGATCATGTCACTTGTCTTGGGACTCAGAAGTCGATGTTCTTGCATATCCCATATCAAGCTTGCGTAATAGTTATTGATCAGAGAAAATCTTTGATAACTAACAAAAAAAAACACAAATTAGAGCCTGTGTAACATTGATAGAAAATATGAATTCATTATAGCAGCTCCAAAAATTTTGTTTAAGTTTGTACAGGGTGGTTACAAGTTACGTTTTCATATAATTTTTTTCAATATGCTAGAACTTATTAAATCTCTTCTAGTTTCCTTTGTTATGGTTTCAAAATATTTCACTTTTCAGTATTCCTACAGAGCTACAATCTTGTTATTAATATTCACAATTCTTTTGAATCTTATGGTGTCTATAGCATATAATTTTGTCGTATACATTGGTTTTAAGTCGAGATTAATATAAGGGTAAATTTTTATTAAATGATCTAAAATAATGGTAAAATTAGGAAAATTAGAAATTAGGTTGATAAATTATGACTATTTTTCTCTTATAATTATTTGATTATAACATGCTAACTAATATGATATTATGATAATTGTATTAATAATGCTAACTAATATGATGTTCTAAAAATGATCTAAAATAATGGTAAAATTAGGAAAGAAAATTAGAAATTAGGTTGATAAATTATGACTATTTTTTCCTTATAATTATTTGATTGTAACATGCTAACTAATATGATATTATGATAATTGTATTAATAATGCTAACTAATATGATGTTCGATTAGTACATTGTATAAATATGAAGTTAATATGAAGTTAATATGATAACTATCAGATTAATGTTGCTATTATTTCATGAAAAATAGGAATTATCAGGTTAATGTTGCTATTATTTCATGAAAAATAGGAGTTAAACTTTGTTTAATTAGCACATTGCACAAAATATCGAATTAACATAATAACTATCATATTAACATTATTATTTTATGAAAAATAGGAATTAATTTTGTTAACTGTATAAGTTATATACAATTATCATGTTAATAATGTTATCATATCAAAACTTATCATACTAACGTTGTGAGCACGATAACTATCGTGTTAACATTGATATCATTTTTTACCCCATCACCATCACCACTACTTATACCCATCACCACCAACACTGTTACCACCATCACCAACACTACCACAACTACCACCAACATCGCCATTACTTCCACCACTACCGGGCCACCATCACCAACACCACAGCCATCATCACCACCACTATCGACAACATCATTACCACCACCATCACCACCGCCGCCACTACTACCACCGCCACCACCACCGTCATCACCACCGACGACTTCATCACCATCATCACCGATAACGCTATCACTACCACCGACTATCACCAACACCATCACCATCACCAAACACTATCTCCATCAGCGTGTGAAAAAATGAATAGAAGAAAGTAATTATGTGAAAAAAGCAAGGACTCATTTGTCTTTTTATCTGCAACAGTGTTAATTGAGTCCATTTACCACAATTACTCTTAGTATAATGATTAATTTTGAATATACATTGCAAAGTCAGTTGTTGTTGTTTAGACTAAAATCCTAAAATCGTCAAATTGGTCATTTGTTGACACAACAAAGCAGAGTGTCAAAATGGTCGTTGTTTAGACTAAAATCGTCAAGTCTTTGGTCAATTGTTTTTTTAAATAAACCACAGCTGGCATCGAACGATTCTTTGACTATTTAATTTGCACATCTATCCACAACTGAGCAATGGCAGTCAATGCCCAAAGCAATAATGATGGCATTTTCTCTAATTAAAAACGCTAATGATTGTTAAAAATTGTGACTTTAGTTGCTGCTTTTTTGGATTGCTGTACTCCAAGTTGGTATCACATTAGTTAATGTGATTTAATTTGTATGTTAGTATCACATTAATTAATGTTTAGGTAAAAGAATTTTTTTTTTTTTAAAAAAGGCGACTCAACTTGTGCCATGTTTCTCTGAACTCCTCTCCAAACAAGCCATTGGAGTGAACCCAATCAGAGCTGAAACAGTTCATCGCCATGGCGGCATCCTCCTCTTCCACGGTCGATGAACTGCAACCACAGTATCATGTGTTCATCAGCTTTCGTGGGGTGGATTTGCGCCATGGATTCGTCAGCCATCTTGTAAGAGCCTTGATAAATCAAAGAATCAACGTCTTCATCGACAACTCTGAAGTCAGAGGCCAACTTCAAGAAGGTGTCCTTTCGAGGAGAATAGAAGAGTCGAGAATCGCTCTGGTTATCTTCACCTCCAATTACACCGAGTCACCTTGGTGCTTGCAAGAGTTGAAAAAGATCAAGGAACGTGTGGATGAAGGCAAAATGGTGGCTATTCCCATCTTCTACAAGCTGGAGCCATCCACCGTGAGACATATGAAGGGAGAATTTGGCGATGCATTCAGGAACCTGGTGAAAAGTTTTGCTGAGGAGAAAAAGAAGTGGAAGGAAGCTTTGACGTCGATTCCTGAGTTAATGGGCATCATAGTGCACGAGCGAAGGTATGCTTTGCTTGTGCCCAATTCATTGATAACTTATCAAAAGCGTGATTTAAGAATTCATGGGAGTTCAAGAAGATCATGATAATAACATTTAGAACATGTCCAGTGAGGATATCTCAATGAAGATCTCACAATATAATATTTATAAAATTTTAAAAAGAAAAGAGATAATGTTAATAATATCTCATTTGAAATTTTTTTAGGTACTTTTAAATACTTATTTTATACATGTTATTGTATGATTGATTTGATTTTCTTTTATAGATAAAAATTTCTTATATTATAAAATTATATTAAAAATATTAGTATTATATAGATAAGATACTCAAAGAGAATATCTCACCAATAAAAATGCTCTTATCATCACTCTGTTTTATCTCACTTACTAACCAGTGATGAGGTCTCTGCCATCAATGAAATTGTGGAAGGCGTTGAAAAACTGCTACGCTACACTTCATTAGCGATTTCTTCTTCAGACGCTAAAACAAATGCTGATTTCTTTGACAGGTGACACTGTTTTTCTTTGACAAGTGACACTGTTTTTCTATAATAACCTTTTTCTCTCAAATTATTTTTTGATTAACCATTTGTTAATCTCTTTTTGGTGTAAAGAATTTCCACCAACCCTCCATTGGACTGTAAAGTCCACCCACACAAAAATCAAGTTTTCATCAATTTCCGCGGAGATCAGCTGCGCAAAAATTTCATCGGCTATCTTGTGGATGCACTTCGGAGAAGTGAGATCAACGTCTTCATAGACGACCAGGAGCATATAGGTGAAGACCTCACCAATCTTTTCAAGAGGATCGAGGATTCTGGGATTGCCATAGTTGTGTTTTCTAGCAGGTACACGGAATCCAAATGGTGCTTGGAAGAGCTTGTGAAGATTAAAGAACGTGTGGAACAAGGCAGGCTCAAGGTGTGATCGATGAACATGTATATACTATTATACATATTTTGACACATATATTAGTAACTTTGGGATTATACCTTTCCTTTACCACAAGGTGATTCCCATCTTCTACAAGGTGAGTCCAACCAATGTGAAAAGACTTAAGGGAGAATTTGGTGACAATTTTAGAGACAGAGAGTGGGAGTTTGAGTCTGACGAACCTAAGATTAAGCGATGGAAAGAGGCGTTGGCGGTTGTTTCCCGTAAGTTTGCCCTGACTTTCGATGAGCAAAGGTACTATTCGGGTTTGCTCGTGTGTGAACTTTTAATATATAGAAACTCATATCGGGTTTTGTTTTTTCTAACAAGTTTAGCAGCGCATTAGAGATTGAATTCGTTAATAATATCGTCAAGGAGGTCTTGAAAATGCTACAAGACATTTACACAATGGAAAGAAGTCAATCCTCTCGTTAACCTTTTGTTGTGCGGAGAAAAGCAAGCTGAAGCTACACGAAAGCTCAGCAATCCTGACGTTCGCGTAAAACGTTTTTGTTTTATAACGTGTAACAAACATTCAGTTCAACGTTGAAACCACCTAATCTTGTTTAAGTTTGGTTTGTGAATCTGATATTAAATGGATGCAATCGTTGATGCAAATCCAATGGCTCAGACAATGTGAGAAGAAGAGTATAGTTTTATACGTCATCGTCATGGTTGCAAAATGTAACAACGACGAAGAATGATAATTTCAATGGTGAAGCAAACAACTTTCACCGTGACTAGTATAGCTCAACAGCTTCTTGATAGACCCATATCTTCATATATTACCAGCACAATTAAAAGTTTATGTAGGTTTGTAAAATTGCAGTGTCAACGTCAAAAGTTGTAAACGTTTTTTTGAAGTCTTGGTTAGTTGGTTTATAGGAGTTCATTTCTATTGTATAGTAGAAAATGAATCCTTATTTGAACCGAAAAAGCCAAAAAGGTCAACTAAAGCCTAATTTATTTGGAAATTACATCTTGTTTTGTTTTTAATATATATCAGTTTTTAAAAAGAAAATAACACTAAATTTATTGTGAAACAGAAGGATTAGCTATTGATGATATTCACGAATTCTTTTGAATCTAATGGTATATAGTTTTTTGTCTTTCTAGAAAGAAATTACCAATAATATCTGCAATATCAAGAACCTTATGAGAAATGATGGAACCTCTTAGAATCTCTAATAATGATTCTCCTTTTCTCCATCAAAGATATTGCTTTAGTTGTTTCATGACAATCTCCGCATATCCTAAGATTCTTCCTTATGATTATTGGCTCCATTGGACTAATCACCAAAACCCCAAACGCCATTGCAATCTTCTCGCTATGTTGATTGATCATTTCCTCTTTCACATCTTCATCTACATCATGTAACACAAACTATGTTCTTGATTTATACCCCCTTCCTTCTTTATCTTCTTTCTATTCTCTTTAAGTTTCTCCTATATCTTCTCTGATTTAGGATGAGACAAATCTCCGACAACAAACTTATGAATCTTATTACCATGTTCAATTTAACTTCACCCTGAAGCTCTAACAAGACCTTTATGTTTCATCAGATTCCTTATTCTCGAAGCATCTTTCCATTGACAAGAAGCTGAATAGATATTTGATAGCATTATGTACTTTCTACCATCACAAGGTTTTCTAACTAAAATACCGAGTTTGTTATCTCTGTAAACCATACAAGCACCAAGCAAAGCTCCCCAAACATCAGAAATTGGTTCCATTGGCATCTCTTTGATCAATCCATAAGCTTCTTGAAGAAGTCCTGATCGACCCATGAGGTCAACCATACATGAGTAATGATCTAACATCAGCTTAATTCTATATCTTTCGACATTGTCCGCTTCCTTTCTTCGATAAGACCCGAGTGACTACAAGCATTTAACAAGTGTGTGAAGGTCACATGATCAGCAATAATACCAGAGCCAACCATGAGTTCAAAATGCTTGATTGCGTCTCTTCCATAACAATGGGTGGCATAAGCAGCAAGCATTGCTGTCCATGCCATGCTATCTGGAGAAGTAATCTCGATCTAAAGAGAAAGAATCTGATCCTGCTCGACAGAAGTCGAGTACAACCTTGCAGCACCAGTCAAAAGGAAACAACCACGTTCCCTGGAGGCAGTGCTAAACAGGATAAGTCCCTTTTTAACCCGAAATTATGCCTTTATAATCGCTATGTTTACCTTTCATTATAGACCCCTTCGAAACACCCTCTAAACAGAAAGATGTCTCGATCTTTGTACGAGACATCTAACATTTAACCCATAAATCATCCCTATTGAGTACTTGTTCCTGGTAAGATTCATTAACTTGGGCGTCAGAGAACATTCAAAAAAAAACTCCAGTTCGGTCTTTCTGAAGGCCTGGTTGACTCTTTATGTAGCTCTTGCAGGTCTCGAATAGACTTCTGCTTTGGAACGACTCGCTATCTTTCCCAGAAAAAGAAATTTTGAGACACAGCTCCACTACCCAAACGAATAATACACTCCTATGTAGCATTATGTAAATTGCTCCCAAACAATAGTAAAATATTATAGGTGTAGATTTTACTTATTTTGAAACATAATTAACCTTGGGAAAACCTTCCTTCTTTTTTTTGAAAAAGGTTTACGAATACCTTCCTTTTACCACAAGGTGATTCCTATTACCAGTGTAGATCCGGATCCATATTTTTGTAGCTCTCCACCAGTTGTAGATCCACACCGACTAAATCTCTGATCTAGCTCCAAGACCTAAGTAAAGGTGGTCGTTGTTTAAACTTTAATTGTTAAGTCTTTGGTCAATTGTTTTTTCCCTTAAATGAAGCACAGCTGGCATCGAACGATTCTTTGACTATTTGATTTGCACATTAGAGTCAATGCCCAAAAGAAATAATGATGGCTTTTCACTAATTACAAACGCCAATTATTATTTTATCAATCATTGTTTTCTCCAAACAAGCCATTGGATTGAACCCAATCGGAGCTGAAACAATTTATCGCCATGGCAGCATCCTCCTCCTCCACGGTTGATGAACTGCAACCACAGTATCAAGTGTTCATCAGCTTTCGCAGGGTGGGTTTACGCGATGGATTCGTCAACCATCTTGTCAACGCCTTGGTAAATCACAAAATCAACTACTTCATCGACAACTCTGAAGTCAGAGGCCAACCTCTAGAAGATGTCGTTTTTAAGAGAATAGGAACGTCGAGAATCGCTCTGGTCATCCTCACCTCGGACTACACCGAGTCAGCTAGGCGCTTGCAACAGTTGAAAAAGATCAAGGAATGTGTGGATGAAGGGAAAATGGTGGCTATTCCCATCTTCTACAAGCTGGAGCCATCCACCGTGAGACATATGAAGGGCGCATTTGGTGATGCATTCACGAACCTGGAGGAAAGTGATGAGACGAAGAGGAAGTGGAAGGAAGCTTTGAAGTCGATTCCTGAGTTAATGGGCATTATAGTGCATGAGGAAAGGTATTGCTATTGCCCAACTTGTTGAGAATTTACCAAAACGTTCCATCATGTAGTGTGAATGTGATTACAATTTGCTAGATTGATTTAAGAACCTTTCATGGGAATATTCAAGAATTTTTTTTTCTACTTTAAATGTCTAAGATTTATTGTTGGAATAGAGATTATAACTTGACCATTCATTACTTTGTTTTCTCTTACTTACCAGTTATGAGCGCTCTGCCGTGAACGAAATCGTGGAGGGCGTACAAAAAGTGCTACAGTTCACTTCAGTATCGAATCCAAGAGACGCTATAACCAGAACGAATGGTGATTTCTTTGACAGGTGACACTGTTTCTCCTATGACAATCTTTTATATCTCAAATATAGTCGACCATGTATAACTCTTAATATAATGTTTTATCTCTTTTGGTGTAAAGAAATGTCACCAGCCCCCGTAAAGTCCAGCCACCGCAAAGTCAAGTTTTCATCAATTTCCGAGGAGATCAGCTGCGAAAATATTTCGTCGGCTATCTCGCGGATGCACTTCGGAGAAGTGGGATTAACGTCTTCATAGACAAGCAGGAGCATATAGGTGAAGACCTCACCAATCTTTTCAAGAGGATCGAGGATTCCGGGATCGCCATAGTTGTGTTCTCCAGCAGGTACACGGAATCGAAATGGTGCTTGGAAGAGCTTGTGAAGATTAAAGAACGTGTGGAACAAGGCAGGCTCAAGGTTTGGTCGATTGAATTGTATATTATACATATTTTGACACATATTACTAACTTTTTGGGAATGTTTTTGCTCTATGCACAAGGTGATTCCCGTCTTCTACCAGGTTACTCCAACAAATGTGAAAAGACTAAAGGGAGAGTTTGGTGATAATTTCAGAGATAGAGAGTTTGAGTTTGAGTCTGACGAACCTAAGATTAAGCGATGGAAAGAGGCGTTGGCGTATGTCTCCCATAAGTTTGCCTTGACTTTCGATGAGAAAAGGTACGTACTATTGGTCAACCCTAACTTTATGTAAGTACAATATTCCTTACTTCAACATATTTGTACTTAACTTGTTCCTTGAAAATGGTAATGTATAAATCTATTGTATGATTTTTTCGTTAGATCTGAAAAAGTTCATCTTAGCCATCTTTTTTTGTATCTTTTTGATGTATGCATGCATGCACGCTCGTGTGAATTTTTATATATAGAAACTCATCTCGGCTTTTTTTTTTAACAAGTTTAGCAGCGCATTAGAGATTGAATTCGTTAATAATATCGTTAAGGAGGTCTTGAAAAAGCTACAAGATATTTACGCAGTGGAAAGAAGCTCATCCTCTCGTTAACCTTAAGCTACATGAGAGCTCAGCAATCCTGATCACGTAAAAAGTTATTGTTTTATAACATGTAACATACATTCAGTTCAACGTTGAAACAGCCTTATCTTTTTTTTAGTTTGGTTGGCGAGGCGGCTTCGAGTAATTGTATATTTGCTCCTGATGAGCTTGAATTAATGTAGAATTTTTTTTATTGAATGTGCGTATTCTCCCTTCTATTAAAATTAAAGGTAAATTATATCATTTTTCTTAAAAAAATTATGCTAAAATTACAAAACCATACATGTATTGTGAAACAGATTGGTTATTGATGCTATTCACGATTCTTTTGAAATTTGTGGTATATATGTGTATGCAATTCTTCATATACAGTTAAAAAGAATAGAACATTTGAGAAGGATGGGAATTGAGAAAACTACCAATAATCTCTACAAGAGCAAGAACCTTCCGAGAAATGATGAAATCTCTTCGAATCTCTAATTATGATTCTCCTTTTCTCCGTCAAAGATATTGCTTTAGCTGTTTCATGACAATCTCCACATATTCTAAGATTCTTCCTTATGATTATTGGCTCCATTGGACTAATCACCAAAACCCCAAACGCCATTGCAATCTTCTCGCTATGTTGATTGATCATTTCCTCTTTCACATCTTCACCTATATCATGTAACACAAACTCTGTTCTCGATTTAAATCCCAGTTCATTCATCTTCATTCTAATCTCTTTAAGCTTCTTCTGTGTCTTTTCTGATTCAGGATGAGACCAGTCTCCGACAACAAACTTATGAATCTTATTACCATGTTCAATGTAGCTACACCCTGAAGCTCTTACAAGACCTTTCTGTTTCATCAGATTCCTTATTCTCGAAGCATCTTTTCCATTGACCAGAAGCTGAGTAGATGTTTGATAGCATTATGTAGTTTCTACCATCACAAGGCTCTAACTCAAACAACCTCTCTGCAGCTTCTTTACCGAGTTTGACATCTCCGTAAACCCTACAAGCACCAAACAAAGGTCCCCAAACACCAGAACTCGGCTCTATTGGCATCTCTTTGATCAATCTATAAGCTTCCTGAAGAAGCCCTGATCGACCCATGAGGTCAACCATACATGAGTAATGATCTAACCTCGGCTCGATTCTGTATCTTTTCGACATTGTCTCGAAATAAAGCTTCCCTTCTTCGACAAGACCCGAGTGACTACAAGCATTCAACAAGTGAGTGAAGGTCACATGATCAGGACTAATACCAGAGCCAACCATGAGCTCAAAATGCTTTATTGCGTCACTTCCATAACCATGAGTGGCATAAGCAGCAAGAATTGCTGTCCACGCCATGCTATCTGGAGAAGCAATCTCCATAAAAACCGTAGACGAATCCTCCAACCTCCCAAGTTTTGCATACAAATCTAATAAAGCCGTGGTTACACACTTGTACTTTGCATTGAACCCGCTAAACAAGATCATCCCGTGAACTCCTTGAGCTAATTTCACTGCTCCACTGGCTAATTCACAGACACGAAGAACAGGCAAGAAAGCATCTTGAACAGGCTTATTCCCAACACTTCTGCTCATGTTGAAGTAAGATAGACTTTCTTCATTTAACCCATTTTGCAAGTGAGTCACAATCATCGTGTTCCACGAGACCAGATTCTTTACACTTGAATCCTCAAACAATCTGCATGATGAACTCAAATCTCCAGTCTTTCCATACCAATTGATAAGAGCATTCACTACTTTCACTTCCTCAAGCACACTAGATTTAATCACCAACCCATGAATGCAACGTCCTTCTTATAGAATGATAAACAGAAACTTAAGAACTTGATGATTAATAAAAGAATAACTCTCTCTTATTAGCTTAAAAAACTAACTCAAAACTTAAGCAATCACACAAACTCTCTTAAGGGATTTGTCACAGCTCGACAACCCTTTTATAACAGATTTGCTATTCCTAATCCTATTAGAGAACACAACTAGATAACTCCTGAATATTCTTTTATATCCTAAACTCTATTAGGAATACATATCTTAATAGGATTAGGTTTGCTTGTGGTTTAGTCTTCTTTCAAGCTTAAACCAACACTTCTTTTCTACTTCTCCCATGAACACAAGCAGAGATAATCGACAGAAACGTAAAACCCACATCGGACCTCCCAGCAACGTCCTTTTTGTTTTTTTTTATTTAGAATAAAGAAAAGAATCGGAAATGAAAAATAAAAATGAAAGCTTTACAGCTTAAAGTTTTTTTTTTCTTAAAGAAAAAAAAATTAAAAAAGTTCGATGACTTGGATTTAGAGGCACTTAGACTTTAATTAAATTTCTTTGGCTTAGATTCAGAGGTCTATGATACACTTGAATAAGAAGAAACTCTATGCTTAAATTTAGAAGTTCATATATGATGAACTTAAGTATTGGAAACATTTGGTTTAATGAAAAACAAAATAAAAAAAGGCATAATGGCTTAAACAAAATTTAAAAACCAGGAATAGAGCCGATCATTAGATCATTTTGCCTCTGATACTATATTGAGTTGATGAGAACTTATGAATGGGCAAAAATTATATTTACTCTCATGAAGATGAATATACAAAGTAAAAACATTTATATAGTGATAGTGTTTACCTAATTATCTATCGAATAGAATCATATAATATAAATACAAATCTCTATAATTATATTTATGATATTCTCATTAATAATATGGATTTTTTAGATCCTTTTATACACTTTTATTTATTTTATATTTTTTTTACCGTTTCAACTCAACGGTTCAGCAATCTTTCTGAACCAAACCGGTGGAGTTAGAATTTTCATATTATAAATAATATTATGAATATTATTAAGGTTGATTTTATCGTACACATTGGTTTTACGTCGGGATTAAAATGATTAATTTTGAATCTATATAGCGAACTAAAGCAAATGTTCAAAAAAAATCTATATAGCAAACTTCATTTTTTTATCAACTTTTTCTTTTGGACTACTGATTACTTATATTAAAACTAAAACCGAAAAGGTTTAGATAGATACGGCCGGAGGCATGTTCAACGGAAAGATGATGAAAATAGAGCAGTACAATAAAACAAAGAATATAAGCATTAAGGGGTGAGACAAGCTCAGCAACGCGAAGAAACTGATGGAGAAACTTCACTTATTGCCTGAAAGTAATTGCTCGAAAGAGCATCAAATAGTCAAGATTCAAATGATCAAGAAGTGAACCGACGTTTAAAAACTTAAAAGATTAGATTTGATAACAGATTTGAAGTACCGTCATTAGTGGTCGAAGCTGAATGGAGAAAAATTGCTGCTATCATCAGCTACCTCTAACTCCCGAACATAGTTGAACCTGAACAACAGAGGATTGTTACCTCTAACTCCCGGACATGAAGAAAAGGGTGTTAGATACCCGAATTTGAAACTAGAATTTGTTGTTGAGGGTTTCCTTGATGGGCCTTTCACCAAAAAGATGTTTGATAGTGTTGGGCAAGAGACCATGATTATCAAGTTGGACCAGTCCCACAATGAAAAGCAACTCCCCGTTGAAGTAGTACTTGCAGCCGTCAGAGGGATATGGGAGGAGAACAGAGCGGGGGAGACACCTTTAGGAAGGGAAAGTAAGCTTGATGTGGGAAACATGTAGAACTGACCATCGGAGTAGCCCATCGAGCCGGTAGGAGGAGGATTGTCGCCAAAAATTTGATCAACTATATAGCAAACTCATTGGTTGGCTTTTATACAGCAATTTAAGAGAGAGAATACAGCTAAGAAATTTCCAACAATCTTTTCAAGAGCACGAACCTTCTGAGAAATGATGAAACCACTTGTAGATATTCTAACAATGAGTATCTCTTTTGTCCATAAAATTTTTTATTGCTTTCGCGGTTTCATAACAATTCCACAAATTCTAAGATTATTCTTAATTATTACTCCAATATTCACTGGAGTAATCACTAAAAGAGAGGAAAGGTAAGGCACGAACGCTTCCGTCGAGCCCGAGAAGCTTTTTGTGATCCCCCAAATCCCAACTTGTCAGACTGATGCTTCTTGGGTTGATAATAGTCCGGTTAGTAGACTTTGGTGGTATCTCTTAGACACAATGGGACACGTCATCACCGGATAGCCAGGTTACAGAAGAAGAAGGTTGTCAGTGCTACATGCAGAGATGGACGGATTAATTTGGACAATGACATGCTTGAGAGATATGGGGTTACAAAGGATTTGCATTGGAACGGATTGCTCAAATTTGATTCAGATATTTCGTGGACTGGGTAGTCTTTAGATCAGAATTAGATTATTTATATTCTCTTAAGACCTCTTTCTTAGAATGTGTTGTACGTTTTATTCTTTGTAGCAAAAATAGCGATGCTGATACTCTTGCAAAAGAGGCAAAAGCACAAGGAATTATATTTTTTGATGTAAGTTCGGTAAATAGAAACGGAATCGATAAATCCTGAATCTAATAACCAAAATTGATTTGATATAGGGATGTTAGTTGGAAAAAAAATCACTAAAATTCCACACGCCATTGCAATCTTCTCACTGTGTTGATTGATTTCACATCGTCATTTTTGAAAGATTTACTTCTATACCGCTTTTCCTTCTCTTCAGCCCGGTTATAGTTCCAGCTGCTCTAACCATCGGTCTTGCGACGACTGGGTTCTTGGCCTCTGGAATGTTTGGTCTAACCAGGCTTAGCTCGATACCATGGGTCATGAACTATCTTCGTGGGGCCAGGAGGAGTGTGCATGAGGAACTGGAGTATGCTAATCTTTACATGCATATATGCACATACGCTCCGTTGGTTAGCTAGATAAGCTTTGGGATCTCGACTCTTCCGTACAGGTAACTTCATTATAAACCCGGGTAGCCCTGTATCTTATGTTATAGATCTCCAACAATGTAATCATATATCCGAATATATGGATGGCTAAGTTTGAGTGTGTGGCCTTATAAATCAGTATGTGGGTGTCTTTTTGTAGGTGGCCGTGACTTCAATAATTAAAGGCGAATTCTATGGAACTCCCAAAGTGCCTTCACATGGGCCGATGAAGTAGATGACCCCAAGGTGGATCACATGGAGATGCTATCTTCACCTTGCAGTCTTGTTTGTTCTTGAACACATGCCCCAAATACAGCTCATCTCCCTTATATGCCACATCCAATATGACATTCTCTATTTGATCCAATCCTGAGAAAATCCCTCCATCAAATACATTAGATGTCTTTAACCTTTTTTACTCTTCAATGTAATGTTCTTTTAGCAGCCATTCAGATAATTGTCCATCACATTTAATAACACTTCACTAATATTAATAGACAGCTATATAGCCTCATATACTAACATATATTATAGTTATAGGAGCAACATAAAATCTATGAAAGAAAATATCACACTATAATATAATTTACGGGCACACGATCCGCTGAATAAATATAACAATCTATGGAACAACATAACTTTTGGAAATGAATATAGCACTCCATTAATGTTAATAGACATCTACAATACACTTACACCGTTACAAATCCCTATCATTTTCAAATAACCCGCTACAAGTTTATATCTGGCCTGCACCAAGTTTATATCCATCCAGCAACACAAATCGCCACTCCCTCCTGCATCTTTCATCCACCACCCCTGTTCTGCTCGCTCCAGATCGCTGAGGTCTTTCCAGAGCTGCACCATTGTTGATAACCCCTAACAATGTCAGTTTTACGAGAATGTTGTTATTAATAACAATAACACTTCAAATTAATACATAGATATTCATAAACGACATGCTCGGATTCAGAATATACGTTTACCTGATTAATTCGGTTGTAGCGTTATATAAAATTACGTGATCTACCTCGTACACTAACCACCCATCATAACAAATAACCCTCCAAATACGATAATAACTCTCCATCAATGTTAGTAGTCAACTATAATACTTTGTAAACTTATATTTTACTCACAATACTCATGTATCATTATAAACCCTATATATATATATATATATATATATTTTTTTTTTTTTTTTGCCACGTATACAAATACAGAATTAGAAGCAGGAACTAGTATTTATGGACAGTTCATAAACCTAGGTGTGCCCATATATTTTAGTTTCCCACTCCGCCATCGAAATTTCTTGTTGGAACATTACATATGGCATTAACTCTCCATCACCTCCGTCCGTATCATGCTTACGTAAGGCCGCGGCGAATCTATATTGTCTCCTCATTTAATATCAAGCCCAATGTCAGCTTTAATTGAAACCATAACTGTCCACATATCTAATTCATTCATCAGCTTGCCCACGCGCACTCGATGGCAATAGACGTAAATAAACAAAGTCTCAAATTACTGTTCGTCATCCTTTAGCTGATTCCTTCTAACTCATTTGGATCTTGCTATTTACCTAATAAAAACCCCATTCTTTGCCATCCACCTCTTTATCCCTAGTTTTTTTTTGTTTAAAATTTTTTGTTCTCTCTCTTCTTTTAATATTAAAATATAATT